ACTTATTCTTTTTGCCTTCTATCCTGCCATCCTCAATTAGTTGGTTCTAGGTCTCCATGTTTGTCACCTCATGGTTACATAATGGTTGCCACTACACAGGCACTATATTTTCACTATATCATTCCAACTAGGAAAAAAAGCAAGTGGGCAGAACAGAAGCTTTCTCATTTTTACAACTGCAAACCCTTGCCCCTTGCTGCTTCAGAAACCTCCCTTTGCTTCGCCTTGTCCGGGTGGAAGGGAGTCTGGAGTGGTACTTGTCCCTGAGAGAGCAGTGAGATTTCCCTGAGATTTCCCCCATCGCAGTCTGTGCTCTTGGCCTGAGCTCGTTGCTGTCCTCAATAAAATCAGACATCTGTTAGCTGGGGAAAGAGAAGTGACTGTCAGGTTGGCACTTGCATCTGTCACATGTGGACAGTATATTTATTATCATTAAATTATAAATGGAGTCCAAGGAGGCTCTTGGCAGAGAAACTCCAAGATGTTGTTGAGCTAAAGTACTCGTAGAGGAAATTCCTCCTCGGATTATTTCATGAGTGCAGCTGGAAGGGCATGTTCTGTCTGTTTCTGAGAAAGAGTCCTGTGGGCTTCCAGCACAAAAGCATCCCGAGAGTCATCTGTCAGTGAACAAAGGAGATTGCTGCTGGGGATGAAGGCGGCACTGGAGAAAAACCAATCACCATCAGTTCTCACCAGAAGTTACCAACCCCTTTCACGAATAGAAACAGTGTACAGAAATCCTTTACAAGTAGATTCAGTGCTCATGAAGAATTTTGTAGGTAATAGGGGACAGATTGACCTCATGGGTGGGAAACATTTACACCTGCCCATTAGGGGACGTCAGATACTCTTCAGGTGATGCCAGGTCACCTGACTATCGCACCCTCCCAAACTTGGGATTCAGTGCAAACAAAATGTTAAGTCTTAGCAGAACAAGTAGGACTTATTTTTTTTGGCTGTGTTGTGCATTTCCCAAGCTGGTTTATCGCTGAGAGTCTGTAAACATTTTAGGAAGAAAACAAAACCAAGCAAATAGTCCTTGTCATTACCACTTCTAATTGCTGATGACTTGCAACCTAATGTCAGCCTGTCACATATGCCAGTGACACACATGGTGAAGATGCCCAGAGGCTCTGGGTAGGGACCCTGTGTCCATCCTAGTCGTTCATGGGTGGCTTGTTAATCTTCCCTGCGGCGGTCCAGCTGGCCTAGCGAGCAGAATGCAGACTAGCTGTGGCAGGGAACTCAGTTCCTGGTAACTCACAACATGGAAGCAATAACTGAAGGCCCCAAACAGCGCTTGGAGTGGAGTATATAGCCATGTGTCACTTAACAGGGCTGTGTTCTGAAAAGAGTGACGGGAGGTGAGTTCTCCCTTCTGGGGACATCATAGCAGGTGCTTACCACAAACCAGCCTGGCTACGAGGTCAGCAGGCAGTGTAACCCCAGGGGATCTTCATATAGGAGGCTGTCTTTATGCAAACAAAAATGTCTTTATGCACTGCATGACTTTATTTCTCTTTTGAGAAATAAAATAAAGTTAACTTTATTTCTCTTTTGAGACAGGGTCTTGCTAAATTATCTGTGCTGGGCTCAAACTCACAATCCTCCTGCTTCAGCCTCCTGGGTGCTAGGATTACAGCCCTGTGCCACCATAGCCAGCTATGTCGTTAACATTTATTACATGCTAGACACTGTTCTTCTCTCACTCTTCATAAAAACCTTGTGAGGTTAACACCGTTATTATTCCCCCTTTACTGGTGAAGAACCTGGGGCATGGGACTTAACTAAGGTGCCACAACTAGTCAGTGGGCGAGAGTCCAAGCCTTGCTCAGTCTGTGAACTAAAGCTGCCTCTCTCCACTGCCCCAGGTAATAAAAAATCCTTATTTATAACAAGCAAATCTTTTTCAGTCCCAGAAAATATTATCTTCACTTTTGTGATGCATCACAGTCATTATTATAAGCAGTTCCTCAGCTGGGCACTGTGGCGCAGGTCTGTACTCCCAGTTACTGTGGAGCAAATTTGAGGTAAGGACATTGTAAGTTCAAGGCCAGCCTGGGCAACTTAATTATACACTGTCTCCAAAAAAAAAAGACTGGGGCTGTTGCTCAGTGGTAAGAGCACTCGCCGAGGATGCATAGGGTCCCAGGTTCAAACCCAAGCACTGCAAAAAATAGAAGTGGTTTTTTTCACTTAAGTTTTATTTGTTTGCAGTGCTGGTGATTGAGCTGATAAAGTTTTAGAAGCTGCAAACAAAGTCGAGGACAGGACTTTTCCTTCTGTGGATCGGAGGCGTTTCACCGTCGCTTGATAGAATAGAAAGCTTGTCTTTAAGGACAGAGGCTGGTAGCAGTGTACTGTGTTCTTTGGTGGCTTCATTAGTGTGCAGGACTCCCTGAGATTCACCAGAGGAGTATGAGTAAGCATGACCGTGACTGTATGAAGACCCCCCCTTCAGGCTATCGGTAACAAGCTCCTGTGGACACCGTTCCGTGTCTCAGCTTGCAGGAAGAGAGTGTACATTTCCTTGGACCCTTTGCAGCTAGACTTTCAGAGCAATAAAAGCATCCAGAGTCGGGGCCAGCACAGTCATTCTGCTTCAGTTCATTTTCTCTGAGGAAAAATAAGTGCCATGAAAGGAGCAGAGAGGAGATGGGGGCTGTCAGAGTCCACACTCTGTAGACTCACTCACGTGCGGAGAGTGAACGTCACTCAGACATGGAGGGTGACATGTACGGGGGGAGAAGAACACATCTATCGGGTAGAAATGTACTGAGTCGGCAGTACTGGCTGCCTCGGAAGATCTGCCCATCTGGATACCAGCTCTGCAAGTCATTTATCCAGTCTCAGGGACTGGATAAATAAGACCATGTGGAGCAGAGTCTCCCATACCAAATATTAGTGCCAGGCCCTTTCAAGGGAGCTGTTGCAATTCTGGTCTTTTCCTCCTTCTGTCAGAATCTCAAGGGACAGGGTTGCAGACACAGCTATTTAGGACATGGGAACACTTTTTGGTCATGTAATATTACTGGAACATTAACATCAATAAAGTAAATATCACACGGAATTCTTTTAAAGTTCAATTCAGAATGCAAAGATTCTCCCTTCCTTCTCTCCTTTCCTTAAGAAGGGCCAGAAAAATATTCTCTCCTAGTGGGCTGGTCTTTGTTTATGTAGCTTGGAACTCATCTTTGCTGAGACACTAAGTCAAGTTTGGGTGACACTTTTTCATGCAACTAGAGCAAAGGACCAGTTTATTTGGGAGAATGAAAGAAAAAGAACCACCTCACAATATTTTATTTTATTTTACTGTTGGTTTTTTGAGACAGGGTCTCACTATGTAGTTCAGGCTGGTTTTGAACTCATGGCCATCTTCCTGCCTCAGCCTCCCTGGTGCTGGGATTACAGGCATGTGCCACCATGCCTGGCTATCAGTTTTAACTTTAGTTATCAGGCAACAGTGAGGCAAAGACAAGAGAGTTACTTTAACAGATCTATCCCCTTGTTCTGCACAGAAGTACTTCCAGTCAAGTGCATTATCTGAAGTTGCCGAGCCAGAGAAGTTCAGACTTGGTCCTGCTCCTCCACACACCTCCAGCACCAAGAGCCACAAGTTCTTTGGTCACATAATAAGCTGGGTGTGGACTAAAGGACAAACATTCTCCGAGACCAGAAAGAGAAGTACATACAAGAGTCTCCTGTAGCTAACACAGTCTCAGCAGGGAGGGAGAAAGAGACAGAAGTGTGGAGATCTATCAACAGGGCACCGACAGGTTAACAAAAGCAGAAACCAGTCCCGAAAGAGCTTCACACTGTGACCTGCTGGTCTGCAGATGGTCTCAGAAATGTGGCAGTGTAGGGTCAGAGCCAGTAAATGAACTTGTTGCAGCTAGTTGTAAAATTCAAAATAATGAGCATGGAAGTCTCCTTAGAAACACCATTTTACTGCATTGTCATTCGGCTTACCAGGTGACCTCTCATGGGGGTCACTCAGGTACTTTATTTTCTCAGACTTTGTGTTTCTGCTGTGAGTATTATGCTGGCACCCACAATATCGAATAGATTTTTAGTCTGATGTTTTTAGGCAAGGACGAGATGTAAAGTGATAATTAGTTATTTCTTGCTGTTTGTTACCAATAATTTTTCATAGATAATATCTGAAGCTTCTAGTTTCCACTTCATTTGGGGAAATTTTTAATTCACATATTTCTTGCTTTAAAAATGTAATAATTAATATTTGGGAGGCTGAGGCAGGAGGATGGCAGGTTCAAGCCGAGCCTGGACCACTTAGCAACTTAGTGAGGCACTGTCTCAAAATAAAATAAAATTAAATAAATAAAACTTTGGGGATGTAGCTCAGTATAAAGGCCTTGGGTTCAGTCCCCACTACCACCTCCATCACCAAAAAAACACAAACAAACGACATAAGCAAAAATGCCTGATGTTTGTATTTTTTCCAATGTGTGTACTAGAGCTAGTTTAATGCACTGTTTCCCAAAGCATTTGTCTTTAGACTTTATTGAGATAGCTTGCTGCTCAAAGTTGGGATGTGCAAAGCGTCTGTCATTCCCACCTGCTCTGCTAATTTACTGGTAACCATTTGCTTCTGACACGCGTTCTGCCAGCCTGCAGACAGGTACATGTCCTGTCCACACATCCATAAAGGTTCAGAATGGCCCCGGGCTGGAGCAGACCTTGATACCTCGCTCTTCTCCTGAAAGTCCTAACCCAGCCCCACCGTTCTTCCTTAAATGTACTGATGCATTCACAAGGCCTAAAGTTTTTATGAGAAATTTCCCATTGGATCACAGCTAAGACTGGAATCTTTAAACTAACACTAGATAACAATCCCTTAACTGCCCAAGGAATTTCCCACCTGAGCAGGTGCCATGATGACACCAAAATGCCCCCTCCCCCCCAGTTAGATTTCTTTCCCATCTTGAAAGAGTTAGGTAGATTTTGGCCTTAATTATTAATGCCTGTTCATTTTGTTTCAGCGGTGCAGGCATGGATGGGAAGAAATGCAGTGTCTGGATGTTTCTACCTCTTGTATTCACTTTGTTCACTTCGGCTGGGCTGTGGATAGTGTGAGTATGTGCTTAGTTAATGATTTCACAGTTCAGGTGCAATGCAGATAACAGTGTTGACAGCATTTATATAGCACATCTATATGAATGTATTTATACATATTTTAATATATCTACTAATTCAACCTTGCTGAAGTGCCCACTTCAATTCTTGTCTTTAATCGTTCAAAGCAAAGAGCAAGACTAATAAATTAAGCAAGCAGGTAGTGAAGAATATGAGTTTTATTTTGTGTTCACCTGTTCTCCTTGTGATGAGCATTTTCTCAGCTGGTTAGGTGAATTGACTATTTGCGAGATGTTTTTACCTGATACATACATGCTGTGTATTCCATTTCCACTCCAGCTCATATGGTGCAGTGCTTTATGACAGGTCTGTTATGTTTTTAAAGTGAGAGTGCTGGTGTATCACAAAAATGTTCACACATTTGCTTACTTCAAGTAATACTCACTTGAAGGAAATTATTTTACTTCATTGAAGTTCATTAAGAGTGGTGAACAAGCTGGGCGTGGTGGCACACACCTATAATCCCAGCACTCAGGAGGCTGAGGCAGGAGGATCTTTGCGAGTTCGAGACCAGCCTGGGCTACAAAGTGAGCTCAAGGCCAGCCTGAACTGCATAGTGAGACCCTGTCTCAAAAAGACAAAACAAACAAACAAAAAAAAGTTTAAGAGTGGTGAACAAAAAAAAAAGAGTGGTGAACATGCATTCCTGAGAAATTAGAAACTGAATTATAATTTTATTTTGTTCAAAGTTGTAAGATTTTATTTCTTTGCTTTCCGATTTTCAGGTTATAATCATTGCCATTAATTTCGGTGGTGTTTTGAAAATCAAGGAAATATTAATGGTGACATTTGAGCTTCAAAAAACTAGCTGATCTATAAGTAGAAAATTAGAGTATTTTCTCAGAAAGGAATGAATATGATTGAGTGCAGTTAGGCTAATTGAGCCAGGAAACAAATGCTTCTTGGAGTTTTGTTTTTAAATTGTTTTGTCTTATAAACTTATTGCTGTTTCTTGACAGATACTTTATAGCCGTGGAAGACGACAAAATTTTACCATTAAATTCAGCTGAAAGGTAAAGTTGATCTCTGGAGAATGCATTGTTTACACATAGAGTTAGCAGAAAGGTTGCCACTGGCGAGGTTAAACTGCACGTGTGTGCACACTTTAACCCGCACCCCTGTGTTTTTTATTATCCAGGAAACCTGGCGTGAAGCGTGCACCTTATATAAGGTAATCTGATCATCCTCGCCTGCCCCATTGGGCCTCAGGAAGGGCTACCAGATTTGCATATAATAATTACAAAATATTTCACTTTTTCAAGCATTGCAGGTGACGATCCTCCTGCCAGCTGTGTGTTCAGTCAGGTCATGAACATGGCAGCATTCCTAGGTAAGATGAGCGTGGAGAATGCTTCGTGCACTTTTGTTTTTTATTTTAAATTCTCCCAGATCCATATGAAAATAATAGTAGATCTCTCAGACATGTTGGTATCATGTCAGTATGCTAAAGCCAGCTTTTTGTTTTAAGGGTTTATTTTTTTAATCCTTTTGTGTTCACCCTGCTTTCCCTTTTTCCCATCTTTTATCATTTCGGTATACTCTGAACTTTCTTCTGCTGCATGAAATATTTCACATGCCGTGAAGTCTTCCATGAGAATGTAATGTGGTGATGCCTTTGCTTTGAAAAGAGTGCCTGAGTTAGTCCTTCACTGGCAAAAATGAAAAACTGCACAGGTTCTGTGATAAATGCTATGGAGTGTCATTGTTGTATTTAAATGTGAAGGTCAGTGTTAACATAGCGTGATGCCCTCCTCTGTGCCTGTATACACCCCAAGCAGGCAAAGGGAGCACGTCTAGGAAAAAAGAAATCTTTAGTGTCTATATCTGGCCCAATTCCCCACTTTTTCTTCATACCCCCGCTGCTCTGGAAGTGCTTGTGTGATGCTGTTGGTCCTCCAGAGGCAGTGGGGACTGTGCTCTCTGTCCTTTGTGCATCAGGTTCTCCCCACGTCTTTCAGAGGGTCAGCCAGCTGTCACTGTTGTCGTGCTGCTGGGAGGGGTCTCTGACAGCTCATCCTTCCCACAGTGGTTTTCTGGAAATGGTGCTTTTGGATGGTGAAGCTTCTACTCCAAGCAAGGGAGAAGGATAATGTTATTAGCAGGGAGCATTCAACCTTTGTGGTACCTGCCTCTCAAAGCGGTGACCTCTTGTTTCATTTTATGGAAGTCCCCTTCCCCCAAGAAACAATTCCTACCCCCTTGTACTGGTTATGGTTCTCTAGAGAAACAGAATCAACTTAAAAAATGACCAGAGGGGCTTACAGGATCAGAGGTGGGGTAGTACAATGGCGCTCTGCACACTGGAGATCAACAGGATCCAGCTCAGTCCAAGGAGGTGGAAGCTGGAGAACAAGAGGGATCAAGAACGCAGTCCCAGCCTGAGGTCGAAGGCCTGGAAGCTCCCTGGAGATCACTGGTGTGAGTCTGCGTGGAAGGCCAAAGAAGCTGCAGTCTGATGTCCACAGGCGATGGGAGTAGCAAAAGATGCCTAACCAAGCAGGATGGCTTTTCAGACACAGGCAGACTTCTTCCTTCTTCTTTCCTTCCATCCACACTAGAAGCCATTGGTTGGTGCCATCCACAGTGCGAACAGGTCTTTGCCCCTCAATTTGCTGACCTACAAGTCAGTCATCTCTGGAAACACCCCCATAGACACCCAGAAGCGCACTGTTCTAATCTCCCAGTCACCTCTTCATCCAGTCAAATTGACAGTCACGACGAACAGTCCCATTCCACTTGCAAAGGAAAGGCCTCTAGAACTCACTAGAAAATCAAGGGAGGGGGCTGGGGATTTAGCTCAGCGGCACAGCGCCTGCCTGGCAAGCGCAACATGGTGAGTCCGATTCCCGGTACTGGAAAACAAACAAACAAACAAAAAAGAAAATCAAGGGAGATTCTTGGTCACCCATGGCACACAAGCGGGATCTTAGTTGGTTCAGGAAGTGCAAGTGAGAAGGATGGAGGACACTCACCGAGGGCCCCCCGGGCACGTCTCTGAGTGAAGGAGATTTCTTCCTGGAGTTGAGTGCGTTTGTCCCTGCCTTGCCCTACCCGTCTTCCCAGAGCGTGTTCAGCTCCCTAAGCAGGTGTCTGAGAGCCCCGGGCTGCCACACAAGCACCAGGCAGGTTGATTTCCCCAGGGTTAGGCTTGCTGACTCCTTAGAGCACCTCTTCTCCGCCTGCCCTTGGGAGTCAGGTTCTTCGCGTCGCAGGTACTCATGGGGGTTGGGAAGGACTCACTCGCCGCAGCCCCTGCACATGTGGCACTAGCATTGGCACCAGGCAGCCAAGTTTGCTTCTGCTGCCTTCAGCCTCGCAGTTTTATATTTGCCCCTTTCTTTCTAGTCTTGGTGCAGCTGTTCTGAAAAGATCCATAGTCTTCTTCATACCAGAGCATACGTGGCTGCCTGGGAATGTTTTCATTTAACAGAGCACAAAGCCTCACCCGTGGACTCTGAACTGCAGGGTCAGGGGCTTTTGCAGAAGCCCCACAGTCAAACGCAGAGGCCCCACAGGTTGGCCCCTTCTCTCATCATCTTATAGGGCGCAGGAACAGTAATTAATAGCTCCCTTTCTATCCCAGGAACAAGGCTAAGTGCTATGGAAACCGCCCCTCCCTTAATCACCCTCGATAGGAACCTGGCTTTCCACAAAAGCTCACCCGCTTTAAAGAAGCCAGTGAATGTGTTGGAAGCTACGTATTCGTTCCTTTGTCTTCTGTAGAGAAATTAATATTTCCCAGTAGTCTAGTGCATTCTCTAAAAAGCATCCATTTGCAAAGCTCATGAGTTTATCTAGCTGTAAAGCTTATGGTTAACTAATTATAAAAGCATTTCCAATACAAAGAAATGAAAGCAAGTTCCCCTCTTGCAGATGACATTTGTCCTCATCTTATTCTCCAGTTCTTCCTGCTCCGCCAAGAAGCAGTTAAGCTTTTGCCAGCGCCTGCTGGAAGGTATTGCGACACCCAGTGTTTAGTCTTTATTATCTCTCATCATCTCAAGTGCCATCTGGTAGACACAAAGCTGATTAAGATTACTGCTCGTGGGAACAGACCAGCAAGTATTTACGTATCAACTTGAGGAGCACAAAAGAATCCGTTTACTAAAGATTCGTGTTCTGCACAGTAGATCCCCCCGCCCCATGCCTGGGGCCTGTCGCTGTTAGACCTCAGACTATTACTTTAGATCACATAGCTGGCTTTAAGAAATAGCCCGTGCTGCCTATAAGTCACTGCTTTTGGACAGCTGTAGGGATTTTAATTTATAACCTAAAAATGAGTGAGGGTAGGGTTTATTAAAATTAGCCAGCAAAGATCTTTTATCTTTTTGACAGGGTAATCAAAGATTGAAGGCTCAATTATTTTCTTTAAAGAATTTGTTCTGCTTGTTGTCCTGAACCCATACTTTTACTTTTCACTGAGGGGAAATAAAAGGACCTAAGACAAATTCCTTGAAAGGAATATTATTTCCTGCCCTGGGAAGGTTGTGAGGATAAAGCTAATAGCTGAATGATTTCAGCTACCTAATAGCAGCCGCTCTCCCTGCATCAGCCAAAACATATTGACTGGCGTGTTGTACTGCATTCATAAATAGGAATTACTGATGCATAAACAGTAAAACCAAATAAAACAAAAAAGAATTTGGCCTGGCACCAGTTTAGATCTGCAGTGAAAGGATGTGAAGCTGAGTCCTGAACTTTAAAACCCAGTCTCCAAAAAATGTTTAATCTAAAAAATCAGTGATTTTCCTACTTTATCTCTTTATTTTTTTTTTTAATTTTAAAGAGTAAAAGAAGGATAACATAATAATGGGGGGGCTTACCAAATTACAGACAAAGTGGTAGGAAATTATCAGTGGTTATTGTTTTACATA